CAGTTAAGCACAAGGCAGATGGAACAGTTGAAAGGTACAAAGCAAGACTAGTGGCCAAAGGGTACACACAAGTATATGGGGTTGACTATGATGAGACTTTTTCCTCGGTGGCTAAGATGAACCCAATTAGGATTCTCCTGTCCTTAGCTGCTAATCTTGACTGGGAATTGTGATAGCTATAATTATATAACCCTAGCAAGTGCACTAGTTATCAAGTAGTATAAAGATATCGTTCCCACGAGGATTTAACAAAATAAGTATTAGAACTATAGCTTCCCTCAATTATTTGGACAATCGAATTTTGGATCTAACAATAGGAACTACTGAAAATTAAAGATAGAAAAAGAAAAGAGATAAAAACAAAGGCAATCAATGATTGAACTTGCAACGATTTAACTGAAAGTGCCAGGACTATTGGTCCACCTAACCTTTCCAATGAACATCAATTTATTAAATTAACCAAGATAATTTACTATTTTCATAAGTTGAAGTTTTTCCTAATTTATTTAATATTCCCTTCTAGGATATATCAAACCTACTTCTATCAAGTAACCCTTCGATTCCTCGGTTAGAGTTCTCGAGATAGAAAGTGCATTAAGTTCTATGAAAAATTTGTATCATAAGATGAATCATGTATATATATTCCTATATACCATTCAATTCACACTATGAGTTATGTAGTCAATTATATGAATTCCTCTTCCGGTTCATTCACCTAAACCAAATCAACTAAGAGGTGGCCAAGCTCCTAATTGCATTACGCATAATAACTCATAGACAATATGAAAATAAAAACARCTTGSTTGAATTAAATAAAAATTAATCCATGGTCGTGGTTAGGCTTTCCATAGCCCCAATTATAAATAAACTAGTTCGTGATAAAGAAGATTAAACAAACAAGGTATAAGAAAGAACTCATGATGTCGCCCTTGAAGTTGAGATCGATGAGCTTGTCTTCTTCTTGCCGCCGCCTTCTTCTCCTCCTAGGTTGCTGACTGCTTCCTTGAAAGCTGAAGCTCTCTTGGAGGACTTTTGATTGCTCCCCAGATTGATTGATGCCTGGTGCTAGTCTGCCCCCCTACTTTTTGGAGTTCTTTCTCAAAAATAGAAAGTCCTAATTCCTAATGATTAGTTTAGATCTAATCCTATCCTATCTTTTATCTGGTAATCTCAATCTCCTTTATCTTTCTAGAGTTACATCAGAAAATTAAATTTGATAGGACTCTTTGCAGTTTCCTTATTCTTGTATTCGTATTGGGCTTTTGCTGCGAACTGGGCTTCCCTGCGAATTTTCTCAGACTTCGGGCCCGATTTTGACTTTGATGCAGTCCGAATCTATCAAAACTCAAAACATGAGAATTGTAGAGTTTTTCCTTATCTTTCCAATGCATCTTGAATCATCTCAATCGGAGTCCGGATGGGAGAGTTATGCCCAGACTACTACGCGGCGCCGAAACTGTGCAAAATTACCCGATTAGCCTTGTTTTTCTCCTGACACCTTCTTTCATGCCCTGAATCGAAATACAAGCATAATGAGTTCAATTAAGTACTAATTAAGTATAAAAGACTGAATATTTAGGGATAAAAATATGATAATTTTTATTCTTATCAAATTACATCAACTGGACATAAAGAATGCTTTCCTGAACGGTGACTTAGAAGAAGAGGTATACATGGTTCAACCTCCTGGATTCTGTGCCAAGGGGAGTGAAAATAAGGTGTGCAAGCTACCAAGGTCTCTCTATGGCTTAAAACAGTCTCCCAAAGCCTGGTTTAGTAAGTTTCACATAGCAGTTCAAGAGATGGGATTCAAACAATGTCAGTTTGATCATACACTCTTTGTGAAGAGATGTCAGGAACAGGTTACTGTATTGATAGTGTATGTAGACGATATCATCATTACAGGAAGTTGGAGCTCAGAGATACAGAACTTGAAACAATTCCTTGCATCTAAATTTGAAGTGAAAGTATTTCCTTGGGATTGAAGTTGCCCGCTCAGAAAAGGGTATCTTTGTCTCTCAAAGGAAATACACC